GGGGGGGAGGGCGAGACCCTCGATTGGGGGGGGGGCACGTAACCCAGACCCCCGACGTAGTGATTTTTCACACGACGTCGACACCCAGAGGTGGTCAGGGGTCTGGACCCCTCCCCCGGGACCGGCTTTTCCTCCGGAGCCTGTTTTTTTTCAGCGGGCCCGAGGCCCAAAGAAGGCCCTCAGAGGCCGAAGATCGCGCAAAAGTTCCCGTCGTGGTTTTTGTCAAGGCGCGAGGGCTTCTCGGCTGTCGGGGGTCTAGGAAGGGGGGGGAGGGCGAGACCCTCGATTGGGGGGGGGGCACGTAACCCAGACCCCCGACGTAGTGATTTTTCACACGACGTCGACACCCAGAGGTGGTCAGGGGTCTGGACCCCTCCCCCGGGACCGGCTTTTCCTCCGGAGCCTGTTTTTTTTCAGCGGGCCCGAGGCCCAAAGAAGGCCCTCAGAGGCCGAAGATCGCGCAAAAGTTCCCGTCGTGGTTTTTGTCAAGGCGCGAGGGCTTCTCGGAAGTGCCCACGGTGTTCCTCCAGGAGATGCTCGCGGCTGACGTCTTGGGGGCTGTCTTGGTGTTAAAGCTCACGTACTTCACCCACGTCGGCGGAAACCATCATAAAGTGACTCGAGGGCGGAACGGCCTTCCGAGAAGGACAGACCCAACCTTAGGCCCGAAACAAAGGAGCGGAAGGGGGGACAGCGAGGATCCAAGGCGAAAAGCAGCTCGAAGAGCCTCTCAAAGCGACTCGACGTCTTGGGCTCCCGTGGGGCCGGCATCTTCGGGCTCTCCTCCCTCCTCCCTCCTCCTCCTCCTCCTCCTCCTCCTCCTCCTCCTCCTCCTCCTCCTCCCTCCTCCTCCTCCTCCTCCTCCTCCTCCTCCTCCTCCTCCTCGCTTCGCTTCGCTCGCGGCTCAATGTCCTCGCGGGACGCAGCCGTCCGCGCGGGCGGGCCCGCGCGTGCTCCGAAGGCGCGCTGGGGGGACCACCTCCCCCTACACGGACCCCCGCCAGGATGCCCAGGGAAGGAGCCATCTAGGCTCCGCGAGGGGAGGGGCGGGGGCCAAAAAGGGCGAAAAAAGAAAGGCCCAGGAGAGGGCCCAGGAGAGTCCCAGGAGTTTCAGGGAGGGGGAGGAGGGAGACGCTAAAGAGGAGAGGGGAGTGGCCACATGGGGGTGGCAAAGTGGAGAGGAGGGAGGGGGCTCATTAAAGGCCTGAGGAGTAAGGAAAGCCACCCCCATGATGACCTGCCCGCGGGCGGCGGCCCAGGTCAGGCCTGGACCGTGTCCTCTCCCCCCTCTCCATAGAGGGGGCGTTCACGATGTGGTTGGCGGTCTCCCTGATGTTGTGGTTGGAGGTCTCCATGATGTGGTTGGTGGTCCACAATGGAGTCGACGAAGTCGTCGAGTGAGTTGCCGTGCTCCTGGGAGAGGCCGTAGTGTATTGCATAGATGCTGCTGGTGACGTCTAGCGCGGTAGGTCTTCTCGTGGTAAGACTCTCCGTCGCGTAGAGCATCATCTCAGTGTTCCAAAACAGGGACGGACCTGCTGGGGCTGCAGGTTGCGCCAGTAGTACTGGTACCTCGGCGACGTGAGCCGCGTGGAATGTGTGGATGGCGATGCGGGCATGGTGGTTCGCGATCAGTCGTCGTTCGGCTGCCTCGCCTCCAAGGCTTTCTCTGCCCCAGGGGTCCGTGGTTGTCCTTGAAGATGCTGCTTTTCTGTCGTGCTGGTCGCCGTCGCCTAGGTCGATCCACGTTCTTGGTGAGAGGTTGATCATCACTCCCGCGAAGTCGCCTTGTCGAATGTGCTGGTGGATCGAGTCGAGGGCGTCGTGCTGTGATGGGTGGTCGGCAGAGTAAAGATCATCGAAGGTCATGATAACTCGTTCCATCACCATTCCCTTATAGCATAGTCGTTGGTCCGTGATGTCGAGCAGATCGTTAGGGTGTCTCTCTGTGTTGGTGAGGTAATAAATAGTTTTGTTTCTGGTCGGTGTTCGAGGGTGGTGGGCTGGTGGTGGTGGTGTGAGCTCTGGTACAGTCGGGAAGAATGGCGGTGGTGAAGGTGATAGGTCAAGGGATGGTAAGGGAGTGACGTCGGATGCATGGGCTGGGATATGGTGGTATAGTTCGGGGCGTCCTCTGCGTTTGTTGTCGGCTATGCTGGTCGCGTAGATCGCCTGGTTGGTGGCCACGTCCTCCTCCGTGAGGGCAGGTCCCTGTAAGTACCACATGTGCCATGACCGTCGGCAGCGGGCTACCGTGGTTAGATGCTTCACTAGCTTAGCGAAGGAGTGGAAGTTCTGGCGGCATATTCTGCACGATGTACCCGATGCCCAGTTTCGCGGATGATCAGGTCGTCGGTGTTCACGTCCGATATGTATTGCCATGCCCTGCTTTGTCTTGGTTACAATTCCACACTCGTAGCAGATGAAGTTGCAGGCGCCGTTGTCGCGTGATGGCGTAGTGTCCGCACCAGTGGGGCCGTCGGGTCTGAGCACCTTCGTAAGCTTGTCGGCGTGGGCGCGGTCTTTAGAGGCGCGGATGTAGTTTGTGATGGCCAGGTTGACGGAGTTGGTGAAGTGCTTCGGCGTGGTGCGAGCCCATGAAAACACGTCTGGGTCGAGCTTGCTTGTCGTGGGCCAGCGCTGGTCGTCCAGGTATGTGCGCAGGAAGTCGAAGTCCTGGAAAAGCATGTATGTCCATGAGCCCTTTCTCCGTCGCTGGTTGTCAAGCAGTTGGAGGAGCTGTTGAGGAGCGTGTCGTAGAAGCCGTGGTAAGTATCGCAGCCGTCCAGCAGACTGGTGGTGGTCGAAGTCGGGGATGCCTGTGTAAGCTACTACTTCGGTGGCCGTGAAATGATGAAGGTGCGAGTTCGTCTTGGGTAGTCCGGCTGCCGTGCGGTAGGGCTTCGAGTAGGCGTTGGAGATGCGCTGGTGGTCGGTCTGGGTCAGTGCTGGCCAGACGTGATGGTTGAAGGTCAACGAGGCGGTCGAGAGGGCGTGCACGTACTTGATCTTCGTTTTGCGGAGTAGGTGTCGACGTCTTAGGATTTGCCTCTCAAGAGCTCGTGCCGAAGCTTCGGTTCGTCGCATGCGATTCTGTACCTCGGGTCCCATGCTGCCGTTGGTTAGGATAGTGCCTAAGAGTCGGTGCTGGTCTGTGATCTGGACCGAGATCGACATGATGCTCAGCTGGATTGACGTAATGTTCTGCTGTGCAAGCCTGCTGCGTACGACGTTGGAGCCCGTCCCGTTGAAGGAGATAATGACCTTGGTCTTGTCTGGGTGTGGCTTGAGCCCGTAGGTAAAGGCTGTACGGCATAGACGTTCGGCTGAAGTTTTCGTAATGTCAATGATGTCGGAGTGGCTGGTGGTCGAGTTGAAGTCGGTGAGGTCGTCGACGAAGGACATGTTAGTCAGCTTGCCGCCTTGATGC